TGGTGCCAACACTATTTGAAGATTATTCCAAAACAATTAACAGCCCATTTGGATCAGGTGATTTGAGAAGAAATGCATTTTGTAAAGTAGTAAAAAGAAGAGAAATGGGGTGAAATGGGAGAGAGACATCATTTTGAATCTCTCCAAAAATGGAGAGATTGGACAGAAGAAACCAACAAATTACTATCTTTTTCATAATATCAAAACTTTTGGTAATATAACTTGAAACAATTTCTTTTCTTTTCTCTCCTATTAATCCAAACAAGACAGAAAAAACACAATCTTATCTTCTTTTCTTTTCTCTCCTAACTTGTGTAATCATTTCTTTTATTTTCCCTCCTAGGTTCCCAAACAGTGCAAGCTAACAGCATCCAGAACTTCAAAAAAACATTAGTCACATTTTCTTAGCAATCATATGTTGCCCAAGTATGCCCATTTACTTACTTGGACGTAAATCCATTAATTTGGGATTTGCATACAACACAAATTTTATTCTCCTCCACCAAAAAATAAGTCTAAACCAACAATAAAAATTCCAATTGACCGCATTTCAAAAGAAGTTCCAGAACAACTAATTAACCAGAGTCATTTCTAATGAGCATTTAACTAATAAAAAGATCAAAAACACACGACAAGTATACAAATACGTTAAAAATAGGTATTAATCAAAACCAACTTAATTGATTCCAAATAACAAAAAAAAAAAATTTAAAAATATAGAAAATATCACAAAATTGAACCTTCAATGGCATCTCTGGGAGTCTTGAACCCCAAGCCAACATTCTTCCAGTACCGATTCCCACCCTTTCCAGGTCTCTTCCCCTTCCCTGTTTTCTTCGAGCTGCAGGAGATTGTTTCACAGATTCACATACTAATCACACCAAATACGTGTGTGTACACAAAATCAATTCTGTAAATCTTACCAAAGGAACACCTTGGGCTGCTTCAAGAACGCCTTCTCGGTCTGCACAACAAAAGGTATATACATCAGATTGGAGCCATTGATGTAGAGAGAGAAAACGAAAAATAGGTATTTTACCTGTTCCGCCATGGTTGAGGGATGTGGGTTGTGATAGAGTTGCAGAAGATGATGGAAGAGGATGCGGAGGAAGCTCGAAGAAGAAACCCTAGACGCAGCGGAGAGTGAGAGATGCGAGCTTTAGAGAAGTATTATATAGTGAAAAAACCCTAAATTGTTACAATGACCGAAATAGCCTTTTTGTTGTCAGTTACCGCTAGGGATGGTGGTTGATCGATTTTGTTTACGATTGGGAAAAAATTGAATCTGTAACCGTCCGTAATATAGGTTGTGATTTATGTGGATAGGGTCCGAGTATATGCAGGTAACTTGTAAATTGGACTTTTTTTTCTTAAAAAAAAGAACTTGGGCTTGTTTTTCACTATTATAGAGCAATAATAATTAATGAATTACAATTTAGAATATTAAAAACACAACAAACGTAATTTCTAATCCAAACAAAACATTCAAGCTAACATTGATATTGGATTAGAAAAAATTAAATAAAGCCTAACATAGAAAATATCCTCCACAACAACTATAAGTATATAATATATATATATACACACACACAGCTAAAGAGCTTTACAAGTTAACATTCCATAAGAATTGACTAAAAGGAACAATAAACCATTAAAGCACCCAAGTTTTTAAATAATAATATAAAAAAAATATTCAGAGTGTGCAGGTGAAACCCGCAACGAAAGAATAATCCAAATCGTATCCGACCATACCTTACACTCAAAATCATCCATTTGTATGCAATTCGAATTGGGTTAGGCGATTTCAGTGGATCGGATAACCTTATACCCAACCCTAGTTACTATGCATAAATTTTTTGGCAAAAAAAAGTTGCAATTTAATTTTTAATTGACAAAAAATATATATATTTTATTTTTTTGGTTTTTAGTTTAAGGTTCATGTTATTAAAATTTTATAAAATAAAGAGCATGCAACATTTTTATAGTAGTTGGAGTCTCTCAATATCTTTACAGTGAAATTTATAATTTTCACTAATAAATTTCTTTTTTCACAGAGTAATGAACTGAATTTTTTAAAAATATATTATTAATTATTGAGGGACCATAACTAATAAAAAGAATATATTGGATCTCTTCTATTACCCAAAGTTAGAGAGGGATGTTTTACTAATTTTTTATTTTATTTTTTTTGTAATAAAGGAAATATCAATAAAAGGGTAATTAGGGCAATTAATACCGATTTAATAGAAATCTTTTTTTAAAATGAGTATAAATGAAAGAAAAGTAAGAATTTCAGTTACGTGAAATCTGGATAAATAATATTTTACCTCATATCTTTTCTACTTTTATCAAAACTTAAACTAGATATATAACACAAGTCGAATGCGAGAGGTAAAAATAGCGGCAAGAGAAGTAGTTGATGTTGGATAATTTTCATTGTATTTATAAAAAAAAAAAAATTGTTTGTATACTTAACAACAAACGGAATACATAAGAAATAAAGGAAATAAGAGAATTTGTTTGATTACAAAAATCAAACCAGAAAAAAAATAAAATAAAAAAAACAGATTTTTATTTTGTTACTAAAACAAAATCAAAATCTGAAACGGGAAAATAATAAAACAGAAAATAAATTAATTACTTACCAAATTAATTTCTTAAACAAATTTTCTGATCAAGTCTAGTGTTTAACATTGTATCCTTAAGACAGATTCATCCTCTCCACGGTACTTTCAGATTGTGGACGTCTATCTCCTAGGATAAAATGATCAACAGCAAACAATAGCGGTACTACAAATTGTTTGCACAACAAACACGCTTTGTGTTTATACTCTTTCTCACAAGAAAAACAATGCAGCAAAATGCAAAGAAAGCAGGCAGAGTTAGGGACGAAATTGGAGTAGAAAAATCAAGTGAAGGACTGCCTATTTATAGATGAAAATGGTGGCTATTAGGTTTGAATCCAACAAGTATGGTACCTGTTCGGACAAATCAACAGATCTGGTTTGAATTTCAAACAGATAAAACTGTTTTGGGTTTGAATCTGAACAGATTCGGATCTGTTTGGGCAGATATGAAACTGTACAAAAATTATGAAGAGCTGCAACAAATTTGAATTCAAAAAAAATGAAATTTTATCTGGACAGATTTTATTTTACCAAAAAATAAAATTGAATTCAAATGTTTTTTGCCCAAAAAGATAGATACAGGCCCTACCGGCGCGTGTTTATTTTTGGATCCAATGGGTCTAGTCCAATTTGCCCATAACCTCTCCCTTCTACAAACTTGGGGTACCCCTTGGGGCCCTTCCCAAGTTACAAACCCATGCCTTATAAACTCACAAAATTCTTTCTGTCAAACTAATGTGGGACAAGCTTTAAACCACACCTTTAAGAAATTTTCACAAAAACTTCATTTCCATGTAACTCACTTTGGCTTCAATTTCACATTCACCCGATAATGGTTTTGAGCAACCAAATATACCAGGTGAACCACAACACGACATAGAACGTGTTACCACTTAGACCCGTCAACTTTAACATATGAGTCCCACCTAAAAAATAGACAAAAGCTAAAAAATAGACAAAATTTTTAAAAAAAAAATTATGGGTTTGTTTGGTTTGTATTTGATAAACATGTTTTGAGATAAAAAGTACGAAAATTTATTTGGTTTGATTTTTTTTCAAAAGATGTTTTGAAAAATTATTTTGAGAGAGAATTTTGAAAAAAAGTGATTGATTTGATGTGTATGAGAGAAAAATTTATTTGAAAAACTTATAAACCAAACAAGTTTTATATTTTCCAAAAAGAGAGAGAGAGAGATATCTTGGGCTTGTTTGGTTTGTATTTGAGAAACATGTTTTGAGATAAAAAGTACGAAAATTTGTTTGGTTTGATTTTTTTTCAAAAGATGTTTTGAAAAATTATTTTGAGAGAGAATTTTGAAAAAAATGATTGATTTGATATGTATGAGAGAAAAATTTGTTTGAAAAACTTGTAAACGAAACAAGTTTTATATTTTCCAAAAACACTTCTAACAGTTGCTAGGTTAGTGAAGGTGGTAATAGGGGTGGAAGTTGTACGCGAAATGGTGGTCTATGGCAAGTGACAAATTTCACTTAGTAGTTAATTCACAAAATAATAATTGTTAATCATTATCATTGGAATTTTAAAATTTTATTTCATTTACAAATTACACAAATAAAAATTTGTTTTTCGTATTTATTTTTAATGTTGAAAAAGTGTAGTCTCCTCTAAAAATAAAATATATAAAAAAAAGTGTAGAGAAAGTATATAAAAGTACATTGAAATGTGTGACTATACAAATAGTTATATACACTTATTTTTCTTAGGATAAATTACAAATATACTTATTGAGATTTACTTAAAATATAAATTATCCCTCTATAATTTTGAAAATTACATTTCATTCCGTGAAATTTTTAGTTTCATGACAAATTGTCATTTTATTAATAAATTATCAAATCAATTAACAATTTTTAATGATATTAATAATATGTTTCAACTAATAATTTAGGCAATTTTATTATTGTATAAAAGAACAATTATGAATTTTATTTTTTTAATTAATTCCGTTAAATAAAAAATTCTAACAAGAGAGTATTTGTAATTTTCTAAACCACAAAAAATAATATATATTTTAAACAAATCTCAAATAGTGCATTTTTAATTTACCCTACTTATTGTTGTTCAGTGTGCCTTCTACATTATGTTGTTTGTGTGGTTAAAATTTTGCTTATTTTCCTAATATTTATTATTCTCATTGATTTTGTTATTTTCCAGCCCAATGCAATGTGGCCAGAAAAAAAATACTAGACCCAAGGGCAATTCCGCTAAAAAAAATTCCTCCAAACTAACCCAAAACAACCAGCACATCCCCCAAATTTATAGCCATTGTCAACTCTACTGTCAATTTTTTGACTTTCTAAGCAAAATAGAGTTCGAGACTCGCAAAGTTTACCAAAAGATCTTAAAATAACTTACTCGAACATCAGGCAAAGTATATAACAGAAAGGTTCCAATGTGCTCGGATCATACACAAACTGTAACAAATAGATTTAATAAGATGATCACAAATTTATGTAAACTAACGCAAAAGAATACCGTACTAAAGAAGAAAAAGTACAATACATTCTGTCTAGAGTTCCTTATCTAGTATCTATTTCACATGTCAACAACCATAGCAGCCTTCAGAACTTTAAAAATTCTGAACCTGCAGTAAAGATCTCAACAACACTTGATCGGAAGCCTCAATGCATTCCTCAAAATGCATTTGTCTTGTGTTGGGGGAAATTATTGTGCACCTTGAGATAAATCACTCCCTCTGCAATAATCAAGTTAAAAAAAAAAAATTAACTATCAGAATAGTGAAAATCCAACAATAAAAACAAGTATAAACTTTCTCTTGCAAAAGGTTCACAACATTATTATCTGTTCCATCTCTAGCCTTGTGATATTCGTACTCAGCGGTATAGACTCCTAATGGGGCCTGTTGCTCACTTGGATATACTCTCATAGAAGGGTCTGCTCATCTGGCCCTTTGATATCAGTAGCGTTATCATCAGAGCTGATAAAAAGATTATGTCTTAGCTTTCTGGCCCTTTGGGATTCTAGAGGGGAGTGCATCTATTTTAAGTGTGGGCATAACGAGGAATTGCAATGTTTATGAAAGATCATACGGCATGTTTGAGTAGGGATTGCAGAAAATATGTGATTTATTTCATATACTTTCACAGCCATGTTAAATCAACAATGATAGTCAGGTTTTGAGATATGTTAAGCTTGTGTCTCAGAACGTGACCTGCTTTTCCTGTGGTAGGAAAACACTGGAAATCTTTATTTTCCTTTAAATTATTCTCTAGAATTTCCTTTTCCATTTTCCTCCAGAGCATCTACGAAAAACACAGCCTTAGGAAATTTCAAATTAGATGTATGTTCTACGGGGTTTGAAGTATCCAATTGCACCTCATTCTATCACTTGTATAGAGGTCCATTTTTGGCTAATAACATTCACCATAAGAATTAGACTAGTGAACTCACAGATGCCTTACTCTTACTGTGGCATCTGTGGTTTACTAATAAGTTCACCATATGCCACCACTAGTAATAACTCATCTTTGGCAAGCCCAGAATTTTGTTGCCTCTACAAAAAATTTCAAGGTAATGGGTAAACAGTTACATGCCCCCCACTAAATAGTTTCTTAAGTCAGTAGTTATTTTGCAGAAAGAAATTTGTGAGAGCATGGAGGATATGCAAGACAATTTATTTTTTGTTTCAGATAACATGGAAGACTCTGAATTATGTGAAATTACTACTTATGCCGAAGCTTGTAAGCGTTTCATATAAGTATTTTTAGAAATAGGAATGATCACCAAAACAATGATGCCATTTTTTTGGTAAAAAATGAAAGAAACCATAGGAACTTCTGTTCATCTGCACACACAACATATACGTAGTAAAAAAAAAAAAGAAAAGAAGCAAGTTACCCTTTGACGTTTGGAGCTCGGCGAGGATGGTGGGTTTCCACGCTGACGAGACAAGGTCTGTCTACTTGAGTTCTCCTGAGCCTGTACATCAGTTAGAAAGCCCCAGATAGCAGATTTTATAATTGATTATCCAAGTTGAAAAGAACAATTGTCCTATTTTATCTTTAACAGAGACGAAATCCCGTTAGTAAAGCAAACTTACCTGAGTCGATGATGTTTGTGTAGCTCTATCAATAGCATCACCTGGTGATGCCATGCCTGACCCACTTGCTGTGTTTTCAGATATAATGGGCATGATCTGGTGTAGTAAATTAGACAAGAAAAGTCCTTCATCACCCACTCTTGGTGCAGACTCCTGAGTAGGGGCAGCACCCTGACTTGTACCCTCACGACCTGCTGCAGAACTTGTACCCGATCCCTGGAAGTTGACATCACCAACATAAATCTGGTCTCCAGGAAATATAGACCTCAGCAACTGATCTAGCCCACTCTGAAACTGTGTAGAAAATCCTTCACCATTTTGTGTCCCATTACCTGAATAAGAGTTGGCTGAAAAACAAAAAATTTCATATTGAAACCAAAGACATCAAATGTAGAGTAGATAAAATTCCATCAAAATAAAAATAAATAAAAGCTGATGATTTACACTATTTAAACACATTAATCAGCTATAAATTGTGAAGAAATACTAAATAGGAACCATAAACTTATTGAACAGCTTTTGTTTACAAAACAAAGCAAGGTCAGAAAGATACATCTTAAACTAGTCAGCATATAAAGAACAAAGCCCTTCAACAGTCACAGAAACAACAATAAATCAGCTGTTGTTAACATCCTACCAAGTTTTTGTACTAAACTAAGTTTCCAGTACTAACTAAGATACCATATAATTTAAAGAAATCAGGGAAGCAAGTGCAGAGTTACCATCTGCTCCAGGAAGTCCAATGTCTTGCTGTGGTAATGCAGAATCAGGATTAGGCTGTTGCCCAGACTCAAAATGATCAGAGCGACGCTCGTCAAATGCTTGAGAATCCCTTGGATTATTCAAATTTCCAGAAGCTACATGTTGAACTCTTGCAAGAACTGGATAGAATAATCCCACTGAACCACGAGATGAATCAGAAGGGGAGCTCCTGACAGAAGCAGGTACTGCTGTAACCACAGTCCTGATAGGAACCACCCGTACTTCAGATTCCCTGGTCAAAGATGGGCTTCCAGACAGTCCTCTAGTGGCTTGATGAATGGAAATTCCATCAACGGAAGTTGATGGGTTGTTTTGCACTGGAGACTGCTGTACACCAACTTGTTCCATTTGGTTAACAGCGGGTGAGGGCATCAATGAGCCTAATAGTAAAATTGACGTAAAAAAGGAGTTATAGAGAACCAATATGATCTGATTCCATACTTAACAATCAAACATAAGAAAAGCATTATGTAAAGGTGGCAACAGGTAAGAATGTCTCCAGCTTTGTTAAATTATCAAATCATACTAAAAAATCAAATTGAAATCAGAAACATGTGCTTGTTACTTGATTTGATACACTCAAAAAGGTGAAATCTTTTAACAGCATCCAGAATATCTAAGACCACCAAGTATGGCACCTGTGCGTATCCTGATGTCAATATTTCTTGGAACAAAACCAGAACCAAGAGATCCTCCAGGCAATCCAGAGTCAGGTTGTACAGTTCCCACAGGTATTGCCCCAAAACTTGTCCCAGGTTGAAAAGGAAGTGGCTGCTCAAAGTTTGGATTGAAGTGATGGAAGAGAGAAGAGGGGGCAAAGAAGGGTGGGGGAGATAGTGTTAAAACGGTCAGCCACAAACATAGGCAATTTCAACAATGTGGAGCTTATTACCTGGACCATTATAGGATTGGGACCAGATGTGGATATAAACACAGCAGGACCAGCATTGACCACAGCATCAGCCTGTAGAAGAAACAAGTCATATTCACACAGGCAGTATCACTTTAAGTATGTAACAATTTTGTTAATATGTCTTCTCCCAAACCACAGACAGCGGTACACACAGACAACCATGAACAGTCAATGTTGACTGCAATTTTGAGGTCATGTAAAAACAGGGAACAAAAAAAACGCACCGGTGTTTGGCCCATTCTCAATGTCATGGTTGTGCGGCCAAGCTCAAGCAGCAGAGTACCTAAGTTTTGCAAAAGAGCTCCAGATCTCGAAGCATTGGATTGAACACCCATCCTTGCCAAAGGATCAGTCAAATTTGCTTGATCCTGTAGTTGTCTTGCAAGTTGCTGCAAATATGAAAGAGAACAATGCCAAAGTTACTTTAGATGCAAATTTATTGTGCATCTCTTCGGGTAACAACTTGAAACATCTTCCACATCTTCCCGCAGCAGGAAAAACATGAATGAGAAGCAACATTTCTTCTCCTAGAGTCTAGGGAAAACAGGGTTTGAAGAGTTCTCTTCATTAGAAACCAGGTTAAAACAATATATCTTCCCATTCTACACTTAGGGGCCACCAAGAGATCTGAGACTACATTAGTACATTACATGCTAAGAAGCATGTATATGGAGACAGGATACAGATACGAGTCACAACACAATTCGAATATACAGACACAACAATTTTGAAGAAAAAAAAAGGTTAAGCTTAAGTACTTACAGACAGGCAATCTGCTGCTTGGTCAGTTAGTATTTGCCTTGTAGACAGCATCACTTCTGCCAAGGATGCTGGTGTTGGGAGCCCTGCCTCTCCAGCAGCTGAACGTGTGGCAGCTTCAGACTCCTGTCCGTCACTCCCAAGAGTGCCAGCAGCTTGAGAATTATTACTCTGGCTTCTGACTGGAAACTCCAAAACATTCCAGTGTATGATATTTGGAAAAGCAAAAACAGCAGACTGCATTGAAAGATCTAACAATAAAAAAGAATCCTAACCATTTCCACTAAATTCATGCCTCATACGCATCAAATACTGCGACAAAGTCGTCAAAGAATCAGGAATCACCTGCAAAAACCAAGGTGACTATGTGATAATTCTCTGTTCCGTGAGAGAGAGGGAGGAGGAGGAGGAGGAGACACATAAAACTTATTCAACTTGAAGATACTTGACTAAGAAAATATTTCAAATATGAAGGCAGAGTATTACTATGCATATGGAAAAGAAAACAACATGCAAGGTAAGAACCAAAAAAGCGACTTGAAACTTACAGATGGACGCAGAGCTTCCAAAGGAATAGAAGTTGGAAATAGAGAAGTACCATTGTGAAGATTAGATTGACCCCTTGAGGCAGCTTGGTCAGTTTGCTGCCCGCTAGAATTTCTTAAGCCACTAACAGGTGTTCTTGAAAGCCTTTCTGGAGCAGCATCCTGAAAGTAAAAATAATAAAAGAGTGAATTAAATGTGATCGGATATTTCAATTGATTATAAGCTCAATTCTTCTAAAGTAATGAAACAAAGCTCCAGAGAATACTTGTCTTGCTCATGAATATATTAAGAACAAATTTTTACTAAAATAAATTGATTCATATATGCAGATTATCATCACTAACTTAATTATTGCATTCTGTCAAGTGGTCAACTGGGAATAAGTCACTTGGAGAGAGAGAGAGAGAGGAGAGTACATCCACCGATAGGAATAAATAATAATAATTTGAATGTCACAGATAAACCTAGTTGGAGAAAATTATGACAAGAAATTGAACAAAATGAACAGACTTACCCTGACATCAGCCCCTTCATTGCCACTTCCAATATTTGTGATTCCAAAAGAACCAAGAACAGCTGAGACAATCTACAAAAGAGGGGAGGGTAGAGGGAACATTACACAGGTAGTTAGCACCATTTAGAAGGGAGGGAGGGAGGGGGGGCGGGAGAATAAATAAATAAAATAAAAAGAATACATGATAGCTGATACAATTACCCGACTGAGATCTGGAAGAACTCCATCACCTTGTTCAGATATATTGAAGGTTCCAACAACTACGCTTGGACCTGCTTGATTGCCCTGACGGCCAGTACTTGATGCTGGATCAGTTACTACAAAAGGATAATACTTACTATTCAGCATTAGCTGTTACAGACTTGAACTAATCTCTTATAAAAGAGAGAATGAACAGAAAAAAATGCACCAATATGTAGGATTATACAATCGACACATTCAAGCCAAAAAAAAGAAAGTGTTTAAGTATTGCTCAAAAGCTTCCCTACTACGAAATATAAAGGAACATAAAGTAACATCTGCCAAATATTTTCCAACAGTCACACTGGAAGACATTGATACAATATCAGAATTCAGAGCCAGCTCCTTCGTTAACTTTATTTTTGAATTTGTGATCATGAACAAATAATTCAATTGGATTACATACTTTACAATCAATAAATTGTAATATACGCCCTAAGATATCTACCAAATAACTGAAATCATTACTCTGCTTATGAAGTACTCCAGCTTCTTATGATTGTTCTTAAGGTAAATTTCAGTCTGTAGCAATTTTCTGAGTTTTTCAGTGACTTATTTTGGAAACTTTGCAGAACATTTTAACTTGGCCAAATTCTACTTGTAGAAATAAATCTAAAGGGAAAAGAGAGAGAGAGAGAGAGAGAGAGAGAGAGATGTCTCAAGAATGAGCAACAATAATGATCAAAGCAAATTACCAACCCAAGGGGCCAGAAGTTTTTCAGAGTTCAAAGTGAGAAGAGCAACATAACAAATCCATAAAGGAGAGTGTGAAGTAATATATAAATCATGGTTTCAAAATTACAGTGTAACTGACTACAGGAGTTTCTGGCAATGAAATAATCTCAAGGCCTCTAATAAAAAAAACAAATTAGAAAAAAGGTGCCCATATGAATATGAAACTATGGTAAAGTTCTCATACTATAGATTTCACAAAGTCACAGAACTCTAAAATAAAGTTAATTAGTAGACAAAGCACAGCAGACCAGGATGATCAGGAGAGCTCTCCAGTGATGGCGGAATTGGTTGTCTAACAACCATATGCAGAGTGTGACCATCTTCCACATCTAAATTCATATTATGTAAGGAACTCCGATATCCAAAGGAAACTATGTAAAAATATTCAAAGCTATAATTAAAATGTGAAATCTGAGTCATACATAAAACAGCAACTTGAGCATCCTGTCCAACAGCACCAATACCACACAATTAAACCCTCTATTTTCCCAATAACAATGAAAAGCATTTAATGCTACTAAACCATGTTTTTTTAATAAGAAAAATTTTAATTACCAGTAAGGGGGGAGAACCTTGTACATTCACATGGCCTATATGCTATACATCCACCGCCATAGACAAATCCCCTACAGACTGCAGAAAAGACAAAACATAGAAAGTATGGTCCTTTCCACAGAGAGAGAGAGAGATGAAGATCCTTTCATGCTACAACTAGGTAACTCAACACCGTCAAAAGACCTCCTATTACTCTCCTCAAAACACTCAAAGCTGCAGCCTGGCACACCTTTTTCTCCATCTCCTTTGGACAACCAAAACTCCAATCTCACTTATCACCATTCAACACCAAAAACTCAGCAAATCAAGCTCCATAACTCACCAGCCATATGACAATGAAAGAGAAGATGATTGAAGTTTTCCCCATCATTCTTACCAAAAGTTAAAATAGCCACATGTGCAGCTGTCCACACACACACACACACACACACACACTATGAGGGGCCTTACTTCGCCAAATAATTCACCAAGAGAGAAAGAATCCCCACAACCACACAAAATCCTGATGAATGGAATGCACCGAAATGCACCCCTTTCAGATATGTTCCATGCCATAACATCTTGATCACCCCCATGAACCCCAGTCATATCAAAAACCCAGAAAAGCCTCCATGGATTGAACTTCTCAATCCTTTAAAGCCTCCAAATTCGGCAACCAACAAATTTTCTCCCACTGAAACATCTTTACCAAAGTCAATTGAAATAAATCCATAAACACCTCCCCTAATGGTATATGGCCAGTGGCCACATTACGAATAAAGTCAAAACCTCACTCTACCCCATTACCGCCTTGAAATAAATTCTTTTAGCAAATTCATCCCATAGAGAGAAACAACCAATTTTGAATATCATGATCTTCGATTTTGATTTCTCAATTGCAAAGGAAATTACACAGCTCAACGTGTGAATGGAGTACATGAAAACGCTGGTATGCACGCTAACATCCATCAAAGGAGAAGATGAGAAGCATCTTCCTAGTTTCAACTTGTATGGCATAGCTTAACTAACAGATCCTTCTTGTATAAAGAAGCATTCAATGGGTAATGACCACATGGGGTAAGCTGTACACAGAGTGAAATAAAAGTTACAAATACTGTCAAATAGATTAAGCCAATAATACAGAGACTAGCATACTTGCACTGTCAACCTAGGATTATAAATAAATAATTCATGTTAAGACTCGATAAGTGCATCAAGAAAAGGATACGATAAGCTGAGAGGAGCTGATCATCCTTCAAAACTTTACCGCGGCATATAAGCCGCTGTTGTTCACACAATACACCAGTAACAGAAGCAATTTGCTCCTTTAATGCAGGTACAGGCACCTGCATGACATTCACAAATAGAGAAAGAAATAAGAAATAGCACGAAAACTTTAACTGACAACATGCTAATGATAGATGTGCTTGTACATGTAGGCATAAGCATAATTTTGATCACAAACATGCACAGGCATATATGCACAGATCCAGGAGAGAGAGAGAGAGAGAGATTTGCAAACCAGGATTGCAACTTATTGTTTTCTTCTAAAACTGACATAATTATAAATAATTCTAACAATTGGTACTTACACATTTATCTACTCGCAATATGTATGTTTGCGAATCCAGTGTCTTTATCTTTATTTCAACATCATTGCTCCCAGAAATCATAACTTCTTCACCACCAGCACTTCCCATTTTCTTCAAAGTTCCACTCAATTTCTGAAATAATTGCATAGAGTAATGGTTAGCATTTGATTGGCTTCAACAACAAAACATGGTGCTGGGCATGCTGCTGCTTGCTATATTAGTAATCACAACAACAACAACAACAACAACAACAACAATTATAATAAAGAACTTGAAGCTATAACAAAACCCATTTTAAGTTTAACTATGGAATTCAATTTGTCAAGATGCTACAGCCAACCAAGAACTATAACAAACTCAACTCCATTGAACACCCCTAAATAAGCAGAACCCATAAATCCCAAATGCCTATACATCCATAAATCCAACGTAACAAACTCAATTGAAAGCTGAATTGAACAAAACCAATTAATCGTTAAATGACACTAGCAATCTCAATCTTAATAACATTTCAGGATAGTGAACCAAACCCAAATGACGAAACTTTCACATTGATTGATACCTGCAACACCTGCCTTGAACCCAAATCATTTACTGATTCACACTAACGAGAAAACTTTAAAACCCCCAAAAGACCATGAGATAAATTCTCAATTCAATCTTAACGAGAATTCAGAAGATAGAATCAAAACAGCCTCATCATTATATGAGGTCGGTTGATAGAAAAACAAGCACGAATAACCTATAATTGTATACGAAACACTGATTACAGATAAAGAAAACATCGATAAGATAACAATTCAATGATCGAAGAGAATGGGAGAGAGACAGAGAGAGCTAGCTACCTGTGAAGCTTGATCGAGAACGTCTCGAACTGAAATCTATCGAGCAGAGAGAGGCCTCTCTTGCTCTTGCCTTGCCAAGGCGATTTCTCTCTCTCCTCTTTGTCTCTCTTTCCCATATTGTATTTTATAGAGATAAATAGACAATTTGAGCTAGGTTCAGGTCATCTTTCCCTTATATCGATCTACTTCAATGCCTGCGCCGTCGATGGGTTTAAAATTATGTAAACAAACCACACCGTCAGATACGACTACTTTCAGTCGTCAACGCAAATCACAAGTTCGGTTCAATTGCAATGGTAATAGTTTTCCACCCAGGATGGAGCGTTTTTTTCTTAAAGTTTCTTAAAGTTTCTTAAAGTGATATATTGTGTAGTTGAGATTTAATATTAAAAAAATGATGTAATTTGTCATTAAATTTCAACCACATAATGCACCATTCTATAAAACTTTAATGAAGTGATCCCTAAAGTGGGGTGATCCAATGGCTCAAAATAAAACTAACCAAAACGGTGTCGTTTTGGTTAGTAATTTAAAAAAAAAAAAAAAAAGAGATTTGGAAGCACTGATAACCAGAGCTTTGTCTATCTTCTTTTATTACAGGCAATGATGGCAGAGAATTCAAGCTAAGCGATTTGGAAGTTCCATTGATTTTGAAGCTCCAACCCAATACGTAATGCGAGCTAGCGAGCAAACCAGTGGAAGAAGAGAACCCAATAAACATCCATTCATGGAGAATTGGAGAGAGATCGAAATTCAAAGAAAGAATTAGCAATCTGGGTTTTGAAGAAGGCGGCGAAATTGTAACATTGATAAGAGTCGTAATCGAATTGTATTCAATCCAAACCACAATGGGTTTTCCACCTTTCAGATTCAGATCTGCCGCAACAGACTTGTTCGATGCCATGGTGTTGATGTTGACGCCAACATGGTTATCATTGATATCTCCGAACTCGAAGTCCTGAACGGTGTCGAACTCGACTGCGAACAAGTGGTTCGAGAAGTTTCCACTGTCAAAGGCGTTGAGACGGCCCAGGTACTGACTAAGAAGAGTTGTTGGGAGGTCTACGGAAGGAGAGAGAGTGAGGGCGAGTCCATGGCCGCCGAGTTTTGGGTATTCGGGGACGATGATGAAGGCGAAAGAGGTAGAGAAAGAAAAAACAGAGCCATTGGAGGAGTTCTTGAAGTGAAATGGAGAGGTGTGAAAAGCATGACCCATTTTTCTACTGGTCTCGTTGGTTAATCGAAGAATGCCATTTTTTTGAAACTTGGATATTCCGGAGAGAGTGATGTTTGTGTTGAGTTCATTGAATCCGGAGTAGAAGAGCTCGTTGAGCTGGGACGAAGATGGGATTAAGAGGAAGAAGATGGAACAGAGGAGTATGAAAAGATGTGACATTTGGAGACAGTGAGGTATTTTGGTTAGTTACATTTCGAGCCGTTGGATGAACCCGCTTCAGGGATCACTTTAGAGGAGAAACTTCAGAGGATCCTGATACAGTTTTCATTAGCAGTGTTTGGCACGTTGGGTTTGAGTTTTTTTTTTGGATTAAAATTTACAAAAAAAAAATATAATAAGTTAAAATAGTTAATAAGATAAAATGTCACATCAAATTTATAATTATTTTATTTTTTCTCTCGTAAATATCACATCCAACTACAAAAAAATCCAATCATCTTCTCAAACACAAAAATTTTAACCTGCTAAAATAACCAAAACTAAAATAACCTACTTGAGAGGGGTAATTTATATATAAATTGGGCCGAGCTAAGTCCATCTGTTGGAATAGACCGAGCTAGGGTTTTCCACCTTTCAGATTCAGATCTGCCGCAACAGACTTGTTCGATGCCATGGTGTTGATGTTGACGCCAACATGGTTATCATTGATATCTCCGAACTCGAAGTCCTGAACGGTGTCGAACTCGACTGCGAACAAGTGGTTCGAGAAGTTTCCACTGTCAAAGGCGTTGAGACGGCCCAGGTACTGACTAAGAAGAGTTGTTGGGAGGTCTACGGAAGGAGAGAGAGTGAGGGCGAGTCCATGGCCGCCGAGTTTTGGGTATTCGGGGACGATGACGAAGGCGAAAGAGGTAGAGAAAGAAAAAACAGAGCCATTGGAGGAGTTCTTGAAGTGAAATGGAAAGGTGTGAAAAGCATGACCCATTTTTCTACTGGTCTCGTTGGTTAATCGAAGAATGCCATTTTTTTGAAACTCGGATATTCCGAAGAGAGTGATGTTTGTGTTGAGTTCATTGAATCCGGAGTAGAAGAGCTCGTTGAGCTGGGACGAAGATGGGATTAAGAGGAAGAAGATGGAACATAGGAGTATGAAAAGATGTGACATTTGGAGACAGTGAGGTATTTTGGTTAGTTACATTTCGAGCCGTTGGATGAACCCACTTCAGGGATCACTTTAGAGGAGAAACTTCAGAGGATCCTGATACAGTTTTCATTGGCAGTGTTTGGCACGTTGGGTTTGAGTTTTTTTTTTGGATTAAAATTTACAAAAAAAAAAATATAATAAGTTAAAATAGTTAATAAGATAAAATGTCACATCAAATTTATAATTATTTTATTTTTTCTCTCGTAAATATCACATCCAACTACAAAAAAATCCAATCATCTTCTCAAACACAAAAATTTTAACCTGCTAAAATAACCAAAACTAAAATAACCTACTTGAGAGGGTAATTTATATATAAATTGGGCCGAGCTAAGTCCATCTGTTGGAATAGACTGAGCTAGGTACAGTTTCTTGGTCGTTAGGCTGCGCTATGGACAGAAGTGAGAATGGAATAGCTCGGTCATAGACTAGGCGGATATTCGGCCAAACACTTTGACCGAGGTGGTAAACATTTGATCCAAGAAGGACCGGGGTAAGATCGTGGCGGAGTACCGAACTGGGGTTTATGTTGGTCGAATACCATCTTGGTTTTGTCCAGCGTAGGGCAGGGCCATGCTAACTCGGTTAAGCATACTACTGAGCCGAGATAAGGAGGTTTTTAGCCATCTCACTTGGTTGGTAGTGAGTAGGGTGTTATCAGGATAGATATTATTCTTGAGAGTGTGATTCTTAGGAGGACTCTGCTAAGAAGAATAAGAGACCTACTAAGATTGTGCCACGCGGAATCTATAAAAGCTCGTAACAGGACTTGTGTACAAGCATCACAATTTTTACTTTCAAATACACAGAGCTTTTGTGTCTATTGTCTACTTTGCTAACTTAGGTATCGGAGAGGTTTCCGGTACACCCCCGCCGGTTAACCCACGTTTGTGTTTTCAGATAGTAAAACGACAACGTTTGGAAGAGTGCAAACTTGATCAACAGGACTATACAAGAAGATTATTTCATACTCGTACAATTGGCGTCGTCTGTGGGAAGCACACTGAAAGAACAAAATCTTTTGATTAAGTTTCCTCTTTAGTTAAAATCTATGGCGCACGATGAAAACTTGTCACATTCTGCTATTGATGGGTAAACCCCGGAGGGTGGCGAGAGGCGCGAAGATTTACCTTTTATCCCACTCATGGCAGAGTTAGATCTCCAGCAACAAAACCCACAGAGGGACACACGAGAAAGACAGGGCTTCAGTTCTCGTTGCTTCCAAAGCCCTAAAAGGTAGAGGCGGAGGATAGATCCTTAGGTTCTGGAAGATCACGTAAGGGAGCAAGACGAATTGATACAGAGGATGGTGGCAAATATGGAAACCATAAAGCGCCAGATAAAGGGCAAATGAGTGGCAAAAGAAGAGACAGGCAAAAGCAGAGCGCACTCTTGCCACTCAAAAGATCATGACAGACAAGTCACATCCTCTCAGACGGAAAGCAGAAGCCTTAGGGCAGACGACACGCAATCAAGAACCTCTAGGACACGTCACTACAGGTCTGAGAGGACAAGAATTGAAAGGTCGTATACGGAGAGAAGCAGTTATTGGCCCTTGTATTCGCACCAAACAACATCTAGGCACACGAAGTTGTCTAGGTCAGCAGACTTACATACAATGCTGGAGGAAAAGGCTTGAAGGAGAGGAGACACTCAGGCTCGTGACCTCCATAGAGTCTATGCGCTACAACGGTTGGCTTCTAAAACACATGGGAGTGTCAAGGTTGGAATGCTAGAACCACACCTTGCCTACGAACCAGCAGACACAGCATTAGCGAGGTTGCAGAGCTCAACATTCGTTTTGGCGATAGAGAACACACCATTACCCTCAGGCTTCCACAAGCCCAAATTCACTACTTATAGGGGAAGTTAGACCCATACATGCACTTTCACCATTTTCGCCAAGTTATAGCCGTATATCGGCGAAACGAGGCTCTAATGTGTATCATGTTTCCTTCTAGCCTTGGAAACCTGGGTTTGACATGATTTGAAAGGTTGCCAGAAGGTTGCATAGCTTCATGAGCGCAACTAGCGGAGGCATTTGTGACCAGATTCAGAACGAACACCAAGACGCCAGTGGAGATTGACCAGCTTCTCTTCATAGACATGGGCGAGAAGGAAACAATGAGGTCTTACAATAACCGGTATCAGGAGACTTTTAATCAGATTGGAGATTGCCCCACAAACCTAGCTATTGCACAGTACAAACGAGGTTTACCGGCTGACAATAAATTAAGGGATTCAATGATGATGGCGCAACCTCTCACAATGGAGACCCTAATGAAAAGAGTACATCAGCACATCCGAGTAAAAGAAGATGTCGAGCGCACCAAAGCAAAAGCTGGCACAACAGCGATATCAGACAAAAAACCTGTGGCAAAAGTTAATACGGTTAGGCGGGAAGAACAACCGAGCAAAAATGGGCGAGGTAGACAAGCCAACAGAGAAGACCCCCAAGCAAGGAAGTTGAGAGTCTGCACTGCCATCACCACGGTATTTAATAAACCTATCTATCGGATTCTTAGCGAGATATGCGATGAACCCTTCGTTTGGCGGCTAGCCAAGTTAGAAGAAACGCAGAGGGGCTACGATGATAGGTACTGGTGCACTTTTCATGATAAAGAGGGCACCGAACTAAAAACTGTACGCCATTAAGGCAACATCTGGAGGAGTTAGTGGCCGTAGGCCACCTGGACCAATATATTGAAGGGGGAACACAACCAGTCCCCCACGGCAACAATAGGCCGGATGGGATGCCAGTCGACGGTCCGCCCCAAGGCATAATCAATGTGATACATGGGATCATCGAACCTGAATGAGTATGTAAACTCCGAGGGATGATCAAAAAGGCTAAGCACATGAGAGAGGTACTAAGTGCACAACCTACCGTGAAAAAAGAAAAAACGGAGGCAACGAACATCATCACCTTTTCTAACAAAGACTTAGCAAGGTTACAAAGCCCTCACAAAGACACACTGGTGGTTACTCTGCGCGTGAAGAATTTCGACATCAAGCAGATCCTAATTAACCAAGGGAGCTCATACGAGATAATATACTACGAGACCTTCAAGCAACTAAAATTGGAGGACAAAGACTTAGCACCCGCAACATCTCCCCTAGTCGGCTTCAACTCAATGCTAGAATGGCCGGTTGACAAGATAATTCTGCCAGTCAAAGTCGGAATGATGACAAAACAGGTGGGATTTTGGGTATTGAAAGTCTCTTCCACTTACAACATAATCTTTAGAAGAGTATGGTTGCACGCCATATGAGCGGTGGCATCGACCTACCACCAGGTGTTATGGTTTCCCAACGAAACCGAAATGATTGAAGAAGTCTTAGGAGACCAAATCATGTCCAAACAGTGCTTCGTTACAGTAAACGGCAGCCGGGTTGCAAAAGGGTTCGTACAAATGATAGAAGAGCCAGAAAGCAACGAGTTGTTCGCAGGTGTCGGCAAAGCAGCCGAACAGAAGGTAGTGAAAGACTTGGTAGAAGTAACAATATATGAGAAAAACCCAGATAGGTTCTTTTTTCTGAGCTTGTCTCTGTCTAGCACCAAAAGAATAGAGATCATGGAATTTTTGACCTCTAATATTGAAGTGTTTGCCTGGACGCTGCATAACATGCCCAGCATTGACCCCAACTTCATCTGCTGTAACAACTCTCGTCACTGTTTACCGAATAACCACTGATTCCCGTTAAACTGAAACTGATTATGACTGATAAGTGAACTGAATAAAATACTAAGCTGACTGACTGAAATTGATACTGAATTGACTGAGTATGCCTGTTTTATTGTAATTCTATATGTTTGGTTATTTGATTATCTGTTCGTGTCTTTGTGTTTAAACTACTAATTGAATGCCTTATCGGCGGCCGAACCGGAAACCGAATAGTCTTTTATGATCATCGTGATTTATGTGAAATTATAGCATATTTATCTGAAAACTGATTAGGTATGATTAAATTAGATTAAATATTGTTAAATTGCATTGTTCTACTTATTCACAATTTTGCCATCCCTAGTGGATCACTTAGGCAACATACTTGGAGGCTTGTATACTTGTAAACAAAACATTTCTTCTTCCATTTCTTGCACACAACCGACCAAGAGAGTGAGAGTGAGGGAATTGAGTTCAAGTGAGAGTCTAGCTTGGAGACTTGGAGAATTTGTAGGAGATTTGCCTAAATTGAGCCTATAGACTTGTAATTGAGGAACCTAGGTATAAATTTCATCCTTATTATTGTGTATTTAAGTTCCTTCTAGCATGGACCATGGTAGTTGAAAGAGTTAAGTCAAGAATTGGTTCATTAATGTTGAATTGGAGCTCATTCCATGCATGCATGTTTGAATTGTCGAATTTTGAGTTGATTCCATGGAGAATTGTCTCATGCATGCCCATGGTTATGTTAAGTCCAGATTGAAGAGATTAAAGAGAAACAGCAACTGGATGACTTCTTGAAGAAGATCATCGAAGAAAGGGAAACTAAACCCAGACCGGCTTTTAAATTTGAAAGTAATGTACTGAAATTTCAAGAAAGACTGTGTGTACCGAATGATTCTGAATTGAAAAGAAGAGTTCTGCAAGAGGGCCACAATTCAAAATTTTCTATCCATCCAGGGAATACGAAAATGTATCAAGATCTGAAACTGAATTTCTGGTGGCCGGGAATGAAGAAAAAATTATGGTTGGAGATGCACATCTGTTTATTGATTTACTGCCACTGAATATTGACCATTTTGATGTTATACTGGGGATGGACTGGTTAACGAAATATCATGCCACCATAGACTGTGTAACGAAACAAGTAGTTTTCCGTCCACCGGGTTGCTCCTAGTACTTTGCATTGTTTTGATGTCCGCTCGAGCGGAATAATTGATGCTCGAGCGTGATGTTGTGTCTTATGCTCGAGCGGGTGTCGAGCGCCCAATCGAGCGTGATTTTCGCCTATCCAGC